AGACAACATGCTCATATTTTCCAGGCATTTGCTTCTCAACCTCCGACTTCAGTCGTCGAAGCAGATATGGCCGAAGTACTTCATGGAGCCGTTTGACCACCTTCTGCGCTTCTGCGTCGAGTTGTTGTCTTCCCTGGTCGAGAATCTGCGACGTAGGATTCTTCAACGCTAGCGTGAATTCTTCTAGACCCGCGATGCGACCCTCTCCAGCAAATCCAGCTGGCATCAAGAAATACAGCAACGACCAAAGCTCGTCGATATTGTTCTGCAAAGGCGTACCGGTCAACAGGAGCCGCCGCTCTGTCCGAAGGTTAAGCATGGTCTGCCATCGTTGTGATTTGAAATTCTTGATGTTATGGGCTTCGTCGAGCACCAGGTAGCGCCAGGGCCGCATCTTGAATGCTGCTGCATCCTGGAGGATGAGCTGGTATGAAGTAATGACAACATTGTACATGTCCTTTCCAGTGTTGCGCCAGCCTGAGCGCTTTCGTTTTCGCTCGTTGATGTCGCCATAGTACGTCAAGATCTTGAAGCCTGGCAAGAACTTCTTAAACTCCATCTCCCAATTGAGCATGACGCTAGTGGGCACTACGACTAGATGCGGACCCCATATTTCGCGACGAACAGCAAGGTATGCAAGGAGCGAGATCGTCTGTATAGTTTTTCCTAGACCCATCTCGTCTGCAAGGATACCGTTAGTATCAGACTCGTATAGATTCGCTAGCCAATCTAGTCCGTCGTGTTGGTACTCTCGGAGGGTACCGCGTAGCAAGAACGGCACCTCGGTTCTTGGTGGAGAAGACGTGTGCCGAGATCTAGAAGCACTCTTGGATCGTACTACATCTTCCATTGGAGTTGACTCAGCAATCTCGATGGAAGGAGCCGGCTGTGCCGCAGTGTCCCCATTGACATGTGGCTCATCTACCTCAGCGACGGAATCATGGCCGTTCACACGAGGCTTCTCTTCAGTGGTTTCCGCAGGCGACGGAGCATGACCGTTTGGCTGTTCTATTTGGGGGGACGATTCTTCTGATTTCATGTCGTCAATCGTGGTCTTGGCAGCCTCTTTCAGTTTCTTGATGTCTTTAGGTGCCAAAAAGCCCATCATGCCCAGTTCTTCTTCCTCGCTCTCTTGATCATCGTCATCTTCCGATTCGCCTGCTTCTTCACCATCGTCGTCACTTCCCGAGCCTTCGTTGCTTGACCAAGCCTCGCTACCGGATTCTGAGCCCTTGTCGTCTTCAGAATCTAGCAAAGCATCATCAACCTGATCAAGTTCGATCGTAGCAGGGTCGATGTAACCTGGCTTTTTCTTCTCCTCATCTTCTTCGTTGTCATTGAAGCCGTTGGTATGTTGGAAAGTATTTTCGGGGGGTTCGCTGGTATCTTCGTCTTCAAGATCAGGGTCTGGCGTTGGCGCAGGAGTACCCTCTTCCGCATCAGCCTGCTCATCGTCGTCATCTTCTGAGTTCGCTTCAGCTTCGGAGCTACTCTCTGGAATATCGGGAAGTTGTCCATATTTCTCGCGTAGCTGTTCGGCTGTGAGGTTCGCATCTTCATCCTGTTCGTTTTCTTGTTCGCTATCGGAGCTGGAAGACATAATGTCGTCGTCGTGTTGTTGTTCTGAGGCGTGCGACACCCCGCTTTCAGATTCCATCTCATCGAAATCGCGGTCTTCGCTGACCAGGGAAGATGCGCCATCGCCCGCATTACGGCCACCCAGAATCTCTTGTGCCTGGTTGAACATGTCATCCATAGCCTTGTGTCCGAGCTGCAACTGCTCCTCTTCGTATTTGGCCACACGCTCTTTATCGATCTCAACCTTGACCAAGCCCCACGCGTCCTTGACATCTTTCACAAGCTGCTTGTACCTTGTCACCTGTCGCTCAGTTTCTTCTTGTTCAATCTCATCTTGACTCTTGCGCTTGAACTTGTTCTTCCAGAAGTCATATGCCTCCCTAGCCAGGATCTTAGCCGTCCGCCGATGTGCCACCTTTTCCTCTTTCAGCAGCTTGCCGAAGTGTAGAGCATGCGCCACCACGTGATCCCAATGACCATACTGTGGAGGCGGTTCTGGGGCTGCTTCAGGTGCATACACACTACATCGTGTCTGGCTCAAAACTCCATGCTCAGCAGCTTCGACGATCTGTAAGCGACGCTCGGCCTCCTCCTCAGCCTTCTCTTGTGTTGTCCTGAGCGCCTCTTCGCCGTCTAGTGGGTCGTCCTGCCCTAACCACTCTTCGAGGGATGCGTACTCTGACTTGGGCGGGGCATGTGCGGGATGTCGATTCGGAGGGTCGGGCTTTCGCAGTCGCAGGCGAAGACGAGGGGCGGGCATTGCCGGATTCGAGTCGTCGGGCGATCCATAAAGGCCGGCATAGGGGTCATGTCCATTGGTTTCGGCATCGTCCACGGGTTCGTCACCTAGATCGTCAGTGGGCGCCTGAGCGCCCCTCCGAGAGCGTCCGACCCGCTTGCGCGTGCCTTCGGGCGACCCATTTTGAAGTGCTGGCGATGCGACTGGGGATGTTGTCGCAAGTCCAGATGGCTTCCTCTGGCGCTCAGATTTGCGCGCCGGGGTTACCAAGGACTGTGCAGAAGCCTTCTTCGTGATAGTGGACGGCGTCTTTCCTTTCGGGACAGACATGGGCCCTGAGCCATTGCGCGACTCCCGCTTGACACCATTCTTAGGGGTGCCATTCGTTTGCGTCGTCTTACTAGCCGGTCGTGAATTCCGCTTTACAGGCTCTGGCGTCGGCGGTGCAGTGTCCTTGTTTACACGCGACGACTTTCTGACGCCATTCTCGAACACAGTCGTGGGCCCATCAGCCACGAAAGACTTCCAGGGCGGCGATACGGCGCGTGATGCTGAGCGACGCGGTGTGGCATCTTCGAGTTTCCGCCGCTTTGTCGGGCGCTCAATGACGCCACCATCATCGCCATTTACTGGCGCCAGCTGATCCTCGTCCTTGATCACAGTTGCGCTATCAATCTCGATGCTGTCTCCATTTTGTGTGCTGTCGGATGCGTCGTGGGCGTCGATCGAGTCGCGTGGTGGAATGGAGTCGATGTCGCGATCCGCGGCGGTAACTTCTTCCATTCAGGAAGGGCGAAAGAGGCGGCCTGGGGAGCCTGGAGACCACCCGGCGCGCGGCCAAATCGACATATATCAGCTCAAATTCGGAGTCGCAAGATAGCCTGACGCGTGCTGATAGCGGTGAAGGGGTCAGATTTTAAATATCTGTTCGAGTTGGGATGATGCTGTAATGTGTCGATGTCGTGAGATGTTAAAAACAGAGCCGGCGATAATGTTTGGTAGGGATCACACGCTAAGTACCGGCACGGGCGCGCATGCTATCCCCTCGACGTGAAATACAACAAGATGGTAGTATCTACACTTCTGGATGCTGTGATTGTGGCTGTCTAAAGTCTCCGCAAATTCTCCCAGGCAGGCGTCAGGCTCTTCGGTCGCGTAGACGCCTTTCGTGCTACATATTCATGACCGATTGTGGTAGTACGCAGAGCAGTTGGACCCACTTCTCCGCCAAGCATTACCGGGGTGCCGCAACTGAGCTCATCGCGAACGACACACCAATACTCATATCCACCAACCCCCGGAACAGCGCCACAACGTAAGCAGACACCGAGCACCTGTATCGCAGAGGTACTCACTGCACCCCAGCATGCTTCCCAGGCGCATTGTAGCGGCCCGCCCGCTGGCTCGAGCCATTGTCCCCGCCGTAGCACGCCCACGACCCCAATTCATCCAGATCCGAACCGCCCTTACCGATGCCGAGAAGAGCGCCGTCGAGCTTGCTGACCCGAACCAAGTACGCCTCCGAATTATATGCAAGCAATGAAGGGCGTAGTGCTGATAGTGATAGAATGGCGGCTACATCAACCCTCCTGCTGAGAAGCGAGGAAACCGCGACCCATACGGTGATTACTGGGACAAGCAGGAGCGCCGCAACTATGGCGAGCCTTGCCACGAGGACAACGATATCCTCGGCGTACTAGCCCTGCACGACTACAACCACTTCAGTCCCCAATGGGGTTTCGTCCTGATGGGCACATTCATCGCTACCGTCTTTGGACTTTGCGCAGCTGTTGGCACCGTATACCCCGACAAGCTCAGTGCTCCCAAGACATACCCAGACGGTCTGGAGGCTGAGCTGGGTGGAAAGGGCGCATTGCTGGTGAGTTTATGTTGAGAAGTCGAGGACTATCGCTAACTGTGTACAGGCAAGGAAGCCCGGTGAGGGCTGGTAAATTGTATGCAGATTCAGCTGATATATACAAATGGAATTCTCTATGTCAATTCAATACCCAGTTACCATCCTAGGCTTGCTGATGATGCTTTACGCCACTGCCTGGATTCAAGTGATAGTCTATTACTATTTTTTCTGGTTCGGTGTACTGCCTACTTAAGGACTGTGAAACAGCTTATCAAAACGGACTCCTGAAATTTGACCGCGAGTCCTCTGCAATGGGCCCCATATAGTGGGTCGTGGAACATGCGAAGCCAGGAATATTCCGCCCCATCCCAGGACCTCATAGCGTTACAGCAAACCACTAGTATAAGCACATGGGCCCCATGTATCCCACACTTGACCCCAAGGATTCGAGGGAGCTCAGCACTCTATTCGTTGCGTGTCTTTTCATCCTTGCTTGGTATTCGCTCTGTCGGGTGTCCGCCAGGATGTTTGCCAGGATCTGATTGGTCAATTCTCATATTGTATACAAGCAATCAACATACTCATGTACGGCAGTTGGATTTGGAACCTTCTACAGGCTACAATCCTTCGACGAAACTACTCGACATGGCGAACCGTGAAGATGATGTGGGGTGAGTTCCATGTGGAGACCTTGCTATGGACGTTACCCCTTATATATTGGTAGGCGTATGCGGTACAAGAGTACGCATCTGAACTTCCACATCTGTATTTTACGTTTTTGTCATCCGTAATTGTTAAAGTCATTCACGGTATTTGATCGTCGCCATGTACTGGTCCTCACTTGGGCTTGCACTTACCACTTTCTTCAACAATGTCGCAGCTTCGCCAGCTCACAACCTCAAAGCGCGCCAATTTGCGACAGCTGCAATGCTGCGCTTCCAGTGCTCTCAATTAGTTTACGATCGCATCGACCCACTTGTTCAGCCTGGCGTTGCACCCTCAGCACACATGCGTAAGCAGCATCCACCTGCGGGCTCTACACGAATCCTAAACTAACCCGGCACACCGTTATCCAGACCAGATCGTGGGTGGAAATGCCTTCAACGTGTCTATGCCACCGCTCGACCTCGATCCCAGCACGGAAGCCACATGCACAACCTGTGATTTCGCTGAAGACCTCTCAAACTATTGGACCGCAAACCTATACTTCAAAGCGCGCAACGGTACTTTCCAACGCGTCCCTCAGATGGTTAATTTGGGCCTTCAGGGTAGAGAAGGCGTTACAGTGTACTACATTCCGCCATACGATGGGAAGAGCACCGTCACAGCTTTCCCCAAAGGCTTCAGGATGTTGGTTGGTGATCCAGGATTGAGAGTCCAGGAGGGACAACAAAAGCAGCTTTGCCATCGGTGCTTTACGAACAAAGAACAGGATCCCTTCGGTGGCGCGCCATGTATTGGAGAATTCGATACTGCGGGACTGCCACCAAAGATGTGTGGCGGTGGAATTCGGACGACTATTACGTTTCCGACGTTCGTTCATCCTTCCTACGTATCCTTGTTTTCGATGCTGATGTTGAACATAGATGCTGGGATGGCAAGAACCTCGATTCCCCCAACCACAAAGACCACGTCGCTTACCCAACAACTGGCTCCTTCGAGTCCAACGGTCCCTGCCCAGCGACACACCCCATACATATGCCACAACTCATGTACGAAGTCATGTGGGACACCACCCCTTTCAATGATGCGGCTCTCTGGCCTGATGACGGCTCGCAGCCTTTCGTGTACAGCATGGGTGACGCGTGAGTGATCTGCGAAGATAGTAGGGAAAACGATGCTAAAAACACTATAGAACTGGCTATGGCCAACATGGCGACTATGTCTTTGGCTGGAAAGACGGCGCGCTGCAAAAGGCTATGGATCAACGCTGCTTTGGAAACACCTGTACTGGACTGACGACTCAGGGTGCTGATGTGTCGACAAAGTGCGGGGTGCCGCAAGCTGTGAAAGAGCCGGTCGATGGATGGCTTGATGAATTGCCTGGTGGGCCGGCCGTCACTTACGAGTAACCTGAGCGCAAGTTGTAAGCCATGGAAGAATAATAGTGATTAAAGGAGACCGAACAGACGTGACGCCGCTTCATTTGTGAGCAAGCAGACGTTCGCTTTGTTTAATTTCTATAGAAGAAGTACATACTCCCCAGACCGTCGTAGATCTGGGAAAAGCTTCATACGTTCAAAATCAGTTGCTGTAGTCAAGCTTCAACAACCATTGGTACCACTCTGTTCAACGAAGTGCGTGTCAAAGTCTCTTGCGCCACTAGCCGTGGCAACTTTAGCATGCTCACAGTGGTCCTTTATATATTGTAGATCGGTCGAAATATCTCGACAAGAAGCACAGAATTGGCTATTTGTCTGGAAGAGTCATGAGAAGGAGCCCGAACAAGTAAGGGATTCAACATACCTTGTTACACAAGAAATTCCCGCACGTATTTGAGCAGGCTACTCGTGCACATGCTCCCAACCCGCCATTCACACAGCAGTTTGCACGGTTGAGTGCCCTCAGGTAACCGAGGTTATTATGACAGGACTTAGGGCCTAAGATATCCGTTCCATAATTGCAGTTTAGCTATTCCATGACATTAGTGTATGTCGCAAATAGCAGAAGGGCGAAACATTAAAGACCTACAGTAGACCACTTTGCCAGTGAGCGTGCTTCAGAAGGTTCGAAAAGATCAGGAAAATCGCCGGGTTTCAAATGCCCCATCTGTTGGTTCACAGATTTTGCATCACCTGTGAATGTGACGCCAGGAAATCGTGGATCATACACCGTCATGTTGACGAGGACCAGATCGTCCAGGGACCATCGGGCGGCGAGACTCGTGTAAGAGCCGTTCTCCTCGGGGATTGCAACTGCGTTGATCATGACCTGTTCGTACAGATTGGTATGAATGCTATGAGATAGCTAGAGAGAACAGGAAGCTACTTACAGTGGATATACTAAGGCATAGAGTCGCGAGCACAATCTTCATGTTGGCAAGGGGCTTTTGATAGTCTAGTTGATGTTGGTGGGCAGTAGTGTGCTCGTAGGCTGGGCTGATGGTGTCTGAATTTGAGTGGTGCAGGCTGAAGATATCCGCAAGGAGAACATGCAGCAGGACGAGACCTAATACCTTGCCCTGGCAGGCAAAGGTTCCATCAGATACCTCATTCTCTCGGCAGCGTCATCATCAGCCAACTTTTGTCTCTCTGGGTCCATCTCTCCCTCTTCATCTGAATCTTCACGAGCTGTCTCCTCCTCCTGCCTCCTTCTCGCCCTTTTCCCCAACCTTGATTTCCTGTTCTTTACGAAAGGTCTCATCTGTCGCGATTCCGGCTCCGGCCCGAGATCGTGAACATGGAACAAGTTACACAGCTTCCCTTTCATCTCGTTCAGCCATTCCATGACTTCGACTTCGGACCGGTCTCCCGAGAACGGCACAATCTCATCCTCGTTTGCGGCAGTCAAGCAGTTCATCATGAATTCTTTTGGGAGGTCGTCCTTCCATTCTTTCATTTCCTGCTTCGTTCCAATGTACACGATGACATCGACGATGAGACTTCGAAGAGATGAGTCCGAGCTGGTGGCCTCGTATATGTCTGAGATATACTTATACGGCATTCGATCTGGATTGTCGACAATGCGGAGGAAGAACTCGTTCAGGGCTGCGTTGCGCAGTGCATCGATCTCAAAGTCTTTTGCGAATTCAAAAATGTCGATCAGTGTGCCGAAAGAGAAACGTCGGTCCATCGTCTCATCTGAGTCCAGACGATAGAGGTTACCGGTTTTGAGGAATTTCAGAAAGATGCGGAAGAGAAAGGGCGAGCTATTGGGAACGATGAAGAACTCTGATGTTCCATGTAGACTGGGGTATGTCAGTGTACTTTTGTAAGGTTAAACATGTATAATAGTGCAGTGGATGCCCCCACGATGAAGTGCTGAATGACGCGATGATAAAAACTTACTGATCATTGAAGTAGTATGATATAAGGCGCAGGTACCTTAGAGGCGCTTCGAGCACTTCGGTATCGCTACCACTCCCTACTTCCAGCGACACGATCTCGGGGGCACACCGTGATTCAGGGTACATATAGGGGTCGCTGCAGGGTAAGTGCGAGCTCGACATCGCACTTCAAATATAGATGCAGTGTTGATGGAGGCGTGCATGAGGGTACTGAGGTAGCGAGGGAGAAGACGAAGTCGCAACGGAAAACATAAGTCCAAAAAGCGTTAAAGTGGGGTTGCCTTGACAAGTGCAAACGGCCAAGTGAAGGTGAAGAAACCCATTGCCAGACAGGTATATGTAGAATTGTACTAGAGAAGTCGAAAGGGAAAGTATAGAGAGGCGAGACAGCGTGTTCTTATTCACACGGAAGGAAGACACGAAAGCAACATCCGGTATCTAACATAGGATGATAATGCATTTACACGCACATATCCCACAGTTAATGCCTAAGAGCAGTCTGAGCGTACTCAGACGAGCTGGCGAGACTCCAGCACGAAAAACCGATGAAGGCCATCTTTCCTTATGCTATGTCCATGGAATTTCAGAAGATATAGATCATTTATGGATCAGAGTATCGAAGATCGATGGCCCACTGATGCTTGGCTCAGTCAAAACTGACTCGGAAGGGTCACTGGAGTTAGCATACGTAGGGCATTCACGATGACGAGCGGCGCACCTGCCTACGTAAACATCATAGACATCATCTATCTAACTATCCTACTTCATGTCATCCCATATCTGCGAAAGCTCACATAGACGCCTCGCTGTACATCCCATGAAGTCCGGATGCCACCGATAACACATTAGCTAAGTATGCCCCCAACGCCCGAACAACGCACAATGATGCAGAGGTATCGAAAGGAGAAACAAACACCAAAACAGTGACATGTGACAAGAAGGGTAGGTTTCTTTCATCGGCGTGGGCCCATACCGCCCGTCATGCGACCACCACCAGCGTTGAGACTCTGTCGGACGATCATTTCTGCGGCCTGCGCAGCAGCGAGGCGTTCCTGTTGTGCGTTAGCGAATTCGAGTCCCGACAACGACGGAGTGACACATACCTTTTGCCTGCTTCTGTCCTTGAGGTATCGCTCCGCCTCAGGCCTCATTCTCAATATCCTCAGAATCATGTCGTCATTAGGTTCAGCCTGTGCTTCCTTTCTTTTCTCCTCCTTGGCCTTCTTCATTGTACCCAGGTTCCTCGATAACATAATGGTCTTGTGTTTCCTAGTTGGCATTCCGACAAGTCCTGCCGCGCCACCGAACTGGTGACCCATAGCAGGCGGTGCTGACATGCGATTAAGACGTTGTGACTGTTCTTGCTGTCGCCTTGCGCTGGCAGCGGCCATTGATTCGGACGTGCGAATAAGATCCTCGGTAGGTTCGAAGTAGAAGAAGTTGAGGTTCTGAAGCTCATGGTACTTGGGCGATTTAAGAACGTCCATCGGCACACCTTCGACGTTACCATCCTCGTCCACAGCATGGAAGAAGTCGAACAGCATCTTCAGCCACTTGAAGACGATATCGAGCTCTTGCTGTGTCAATGGGCGCTGCTGTGACAGCTTGTCAGATAGAGGAGGTACGAGTAGCGACTCTATCGTTGCAAGCGCTTCTTTCCAGAGTCTTGTCATGACCATGATCATTGCAGCATCTGTCAATGTCTGCTTCATGATGGCAAAGTTCTCGTCGAAGTAGACAAAGAGAGGACCAAGGGCTTCGGTAACATCTTGCTGCGTGGGACCCTGAGCTTGGATGACCGACATAGGTCGGGCTGTTCTGAAGTTGCCAAGATAGTTCGTTACCTTCGATGCTACTCCTTTGTTTAGCAGAGCATCAAGTGATCGGCGAGAAAGCTTATAACCGATGAAAGAGGAAAGCTGTCTTTGTTAGCTCAACCCATCTGAAACGATAGCAATATGCCTACCTTGTCCGTGATCTTCCGTGTCATGTCACGCTCAGTCCTCTTAAGTGTTCTGAACGATTTGCCGAAGTAGAATTGGATATCATCTCGCTCTCCTTCCATGCTCACACGTAGTAACAGACGACCCTGGGTATCCAAATCAAGCCAGTATTCACGGGGCATGTAGTCGCGGAAATGTGATGGATCGAGCTTGAGAGATGTCCGACCAACGCAGTCATGATCGCCCATAGCGTCCCAGTCCCAAATTGTCGCAACAACATTAAGCGGGCCGTTAGTCGTGATGTCAATCGTCTCGTCCCAACGTGGGTTCAAGTTGCGGTAGATCACACGAGTCTTTGCCAAGCGCTTTTGGTACTCATCACCAAGTACAACATATGGATCGCTAAGTCCATTCATATCGCATGCTTTCAGATCTTCAGCCTCGATGATCTTAATAGTGAAGACAAAGTTATTGTTTCGAGCGCGTTGCGTTGGTGGTGGTGAGTGCTTCTGAATGACCTCAGCGCAGGCATCGACGCCGATCTCGCGCTCAAGCTTGTCTAACTGCTGCATCGCATACTCAATATTGTTGAGTTTGACAAGTGACTAAACATGTAAGCATAGACCACGCCATGTAGTGGATGACTTGCCTCAGGGTAGAACTGGAAGGGCTCGACTTTCTCCTTTTGACTGTAGAAGTCCTTGACTGTCGACAGCCACTTTTCAGATTTGGTTTGACGGGCGGCAGCCTCTTGTTCGGGTGTAAGTCGATCCATCTCTTTAGCAAACTTCTGCTCCACAACCTCGCAGTATCTTGCGAGTGCGACGCCGATTGACTTGGAGACAGCAGTCATGAATTTGGCGTACTGAACATCATTATCCCAGTTCAAGGAAACAATCTGCTCGATGCTCTGGTTGAAGGATCGGAAGACGTCCACAACCGATACGCTATGGCGCTCGTCGTCGGAAGGAATGGGGTTCTGGGACTCGATCTGGAACTGGTCCGCCTTGAACGCGTTATCAACCCACCCAATCAGGTTCTGGTCCGTCATTTGAATCCATCGCCATACAAAATCCTGTAGCTGTTCCTCGATGCTGAAAGCGAAATTTTTGTTTGGCAGAGCATCGCTGTGTATGCGGCGGATTTCAACGAGCTCTTTGTACAAGTCGAACCCATCCTGCACAGGTACGTCTTCTTCTTTGCTTTGCGCAACGTCCATGATTCGAGCGACTAGGTCTCGCGCATCTGCGGCGTACGAAGGAAACATTTTCTCGACCAGACACATCATGGGACTAGCCCCCATGACTTCTGGGTTCTTGCGATAACGCTTCTGTATCCGCTCGCAGAGCTTGACCACGGCGCGACCAAGTTCAATGACGTGATAGAACTCCCATTCTTCTTTTGTGTCTGGAATGTGCTTGGCAAGAAGCTCCCGATACACATCACCAGCCTTCTCCCTCAGACCTTGGCGCAATTGCTCGGTAAACTGATCCATATCTTCTTCAGTGCCAGGGAACGTGGGGTCGTCGTAAATGTGTGACTCTAGGATATACATGACCGGCCCGAGTGGAGGCGGTTTGGTATCGTACACATGCATCATCAGCTCGTACAACTCTCGCAGCAAGCAATCGTGCAACGTTGACAGAATTTGCTGGTTGAGAGTATAGTCCTGGATCGTCCATTTCGTTCGATCGAACAAGGATTCTTGCACCGGAATGTGACTCATTCGATGTGACTTCTTATCTGTTGGCGGCGGCTCTTTAACATAATTGAAGGCAGCGTCGAGCGTGTCGAGACTGATATCTTGGTTGATGTACTTGTCTCTGATGACATCTAGGAACAAAACGAGGCGGGAGAATTGGGGTATCCTCCATCGGAGAGCTATTTCATTCAAGAGTTCTGCCGACTGCTTCGATAGCAGTTTGACGGACGGGTTCTCGCTCGTAGCTTCAGTTGGCTCGAGTTCAGTGTCCGCAAGGTCATACGTCAGTGCTTCATTCAGTATCGCACGGTAAGTGGCACGTGGATCTGAAGGTATGAAGGTGTAGGATGAGCTATCATTAGGGTCGTCGTTGATGTTGAGCCCACTCATATCCACAGGTTGGTCAATGACATACGAGGACCCGTTCTCGGAAGACAAAGACCCTTGCCGCGAAGCATCTGAGTAGCCCGGATCCAAAGACGCCTTCGGCTTGAATTGTGGCACAGATCCGGGGGAGCTCTTTGCGAGCTCGGGATTTGACTGAATGATAGCCAATATCATCTGTGAAAGATCTGGTACCTCTTGATTCTTCCAGGCCTCGTACGCCTCCTCAGTATCGAAGTCGTCACTGTTCAGCGTCTTCTTCGTCATGAGACTGAGGTGGGCTTGGTATGTCTTGAGATCCTGCAAAGCAGCCTTTTCTGTCCACACGGCCTTGTAGCGATTGATGTCGGCCTGCACGTCGGAGTATCCGACGGCGAAGATACGCGACACCACCAAGACGAGTGGCATGTCCTTGACTTCGTAGCTGCGTGGAACTTCGACTTCGACTGTTGTGCCACCTTGTCCGCCGTTGCGCTGGTTCTCTGCCGCCAAATCTTGGTCGTGTACGAGAAGCTTCTTCTCCATGGTGGCCAGCCGATGCGCAAGTTCTGGTCGGTCCTTTTGCCAGTCATGGTCCTTGAGGGTGGAACTGACAAGACGCAGGAATAGAGCGACGTGTCGATCTACCATGAGCTTCCAGCCCTCATCTCCTGGCGCCTTGCCCTTTTGTAGTTCTTTTGTAGCGTTGGAGTAGAAGATCAGGAGCAGGTCCTCTACTCTCCTATCCTTATCCATGTTCTTCCTGAAAGACGGGTCCTTGAACGCGTTCAAGAAGACAGCAAACGTCCGCTTGACCGTGGCATCCTGAAACTCGGGCATGCGTTCCTGGCCCATGAGCACCTTTGTTATCCGCTTGTCGAGCGCGGCCATGAAGTCGCGGGGGAAGCGCGTGCTCTTGGAGTCTCGTATGAGGGAGAAGTCCTTCATCAGGTCGTTGATCGAGGTCGACGAGCGCTGGATATGCTTGGGCGCTGCAGGGACATGCTGCACTCGCTTCTGCCGGGGCTGGAGGAGGTATGCGAGGTATGCTGCACGCAGAGCATAGAGATAGGCATCTTGGGCGGTGACGGGGCGCTTCCCACGGGCGTTGGCCGAGC